TGATCACCAATCGGCATCAGCATTAGCAGCAACGACAATAGCATCAATACCATCGTTACCATTCCTCATTCCTCCTCCTCATTCTCCTGCTCCTCCTCCTATCCGTCCCCATCCTTCTCCTCCTGCCTCCGTCTCCTCACGAATGTATCCCATTCATGGTTGCTCGTCTTCCTGATCTTCCCTTCACTCGTCGCCCCTCCCTCCCCAACCTCCTACTTCCCCTCCTCCTTTTCCTCCTCCGTCTCCTCCTCCCCCTCCTGCCCAATTCAGTTCCATGTCGACCTCCTCCTCTTCATCCTCGGCACAATCATCCTCCCTCATCATCCTGCTCTTCCTCCTCCTCCTCCTCCTGCATCTCATCCTCCTTACTCCTCCATCTCCTCCTCCTCCTCCTCCTGTGTGTTAACTCCTCCTGCTCGCGCGTTTCACACTTCTCCTCGGAGGAGGAGGAAAGGTGGGACGATGAGGAGAAGGAGATGAGAGGAGAGGGGGAGGATCGTGGAGCAGGAAGATGATGAGGAGTGAGGACAATCAGGAAGGCCGGGGAAGCGGGGGCGCGAGGAGGGGGGTAAGGCGGAGGAGGAGGACGGTGGTGAGGAGGATAATCAACAACAGCCTCCGCAGGAGAGGGACGGGAGGGGGCGAAACATGATTGGCGAGGGTCAGCATGAGGAGCAGCATGAGAAGAATAGGGGAAGATAGGGATGATTATGATGCTGATGCTGATGCTTATGCCTATGCTGGTGCTGGTGATGCTGATGCTGCTGCTGCTGATGATGATGATGCTGGTGGTGGTGGTGATGACGAGGAGGGGGAGGAGGATCGCCATCGTCCTCCTCCTCCTCCTCCTCCTCCTCCACCTGTTCCTCCTCCTCCTCCTCCTCATCCTCCTCTTCACCATCCTGCTCCACTGTCCCCTCTCTTCTCATTCCGCCCCCGTTTCCCCCGCCCCCCCCCCCCCCCCCCCGCCTTTCACGTCTCCTCCATATTCCCCCGCCTCCTCCCCATCCTCCTCCTCACGCCACACTCTTCCTTCTCCTCAGACGGGCAGGGGGGGCGGCGCGGAAGAGGAGAAGAGGATGGGGGAGGTGGAGGGCGGGAAGGGGGGATGCTGATGATGACGACTGCTGATGATGGTGGTGCTGAAGATGATGCTGGTGATGATGAGGTCGACGATGATGATGACAATTCTTATAGTGATGAGGGTGATGTCAGGCTCCATAGGGGGGCTGGGTGCCTTGCGTCAGCAGCTCACGAATGGCCCTCTTCCGCTTGGCCACTGCGCGGGCCCTCGCCCGCATCAGAGCCTCGACCCTGCTAGGGCCAGCCTGAGACGACTGAGAGCGCAGAGCGTTATACGTCGTGAGCAAAAGATCATGCACAAAAATGGCACCATGCACGGCTCTATAGGACGGCATAGGAGGTCTCAACAGCAATCGATCGATAGCATTCCACTCGAGGAAATCAGGCGGCAGCGACGGAATGATCCTAGGGAGAAGTGGCAGCGGCACAGGGCACTGAAAGTAGTGAGCAATGTGGTCTGAGTCTGCAGCACCGCAGCCCATGACGCAGCAGCGGTTCCCTGATCGGAATCTGGCCGACGTGGGCCGCGCATTACAAACAGATTTGAGGAGAGAGGAGGCAACGAAGGGGGCTTGTTTGGTAGCGGCGTTTAAAATGGCTCGAAAAATAAACTCGGCGTGGCCTACGGGGGCCTCACTCCAGAACTTCCGAATCCTTGGGAAGAGAAGGATAGGCATTGATGGGCGTCCCATGTTCCCGGCAACGGCAATCGTGACTTTTCGCTGGACATCGTGCGTGTATTCATTGACCGACGGGCAAATCGTCATGAGCTCGTTCCAATTCTTGATCAGGGAGCCGCACATAGACTCTGCGAGCCAAGACCTGTGCCGAACAACAGCCAGTCGTTCGACGTCTTCGTGCTCTAGAAAATGCAGGCGTTCCTTCACTCTAGCGAAGGCTGAACTCTGAAGAGCGACCCGAAACATAGCGGCCTTGTTCGTGGCCAGGAGGTGGCGGGGCTCGACAGGGAACCCAAGTTCCAGGGAGTTCTTGAGGACAAGGGTGGGGATGGCGAACCTTGGGCCCATGGTCAGCCTTTGAAGAGCGTTCGTTTCGGCTCGAATCACCTCGGGCCTAACCGGCAGTACCTGCATCATGTACGTCAAGATCGGGAAAGCTAGCGAGTTGTAGGCGTAGATGTTCTGAACTAAACCGAGCTTCAGCGTCTTAATGTGCCCGATCCTGGAAAGATACTTGACTAGCACAGGATGCCGCGAAGCCGCAGGCCCAGAAGGGCCGATCATCACCCCCAGATATTTCCCATGAGTGCCGACCTGGAAAGGCTTAATGTTGATACCCCACTTTTTGAACTCTTGGTTAAGCTCGGTTCTATCGAACTCCACGGCAATGACAATCACGCACTTCTTCAAATTCGGGAGCAGACCTGTCACGATCGAGCTCCTGAGAAAGTGCTTCATCATCGCGGGCACTGACTGCCTCAAGTCAGCCATCGCAGCGCCTACGTCGTCGGCGAAAGCGAACGGGGAGGAGGGGGTCGGTAAACGAGTCAAAATCATCTCCAACTTCCGTAAAATAGGGTCGAAGGCCAGGGCGAAGAGGGCACCTGAAAGAGGGCAACCTTGTTTTATGCCGCGAGTGATTCGGTACCCAGGGAACCTTTTTCCAGCGAAAATGATGAAGGAGTAGAGGTCGGAATACAGCTGGCCAACTGCGCGGAGGATAAATTCGGGGATGCCCATGCGATGAAGCACGTGCAAAATCCATCTGTGGGACAGCGACGGGAACGCCGCTTTCAAATCCAGCAGGAACAGGCCAGCGAATGGGCAGTCGTTATAACACGCGTACTCCAGAAATTTGCCTTCAATATCGAGGATATTGTCGATCAGGTATCTGCCTTTCACGAAGCCTTTTTGCATCGGGTTAGTAGAAAAAACTGCCTGCTGGCCCATGGGCACACAGATTGCACTTGCCAAAAGCTTGTTGTCGGTGTTGCTAAGAGTGATCGGCCGAACCTGGCTAGATGGGCGAACTATGGACTCATGTTCGTTATGAAGGATATCTTTGGGAAGAAACACCGTTTGCCCATGATTAAACCCCGAAGGCAGGCTGGCTCCTGCACATAATGCCTGGTATGCTTCGAATAACACTCGGTGAGCGCGCTCTCCTGCGTGTCTCCAACACGAATAGGGAATTCCGTCAGGTCCACAAGCAGAATCGCGGCGACTGACGACGATCCCTTGGGCGGTCCCGAAATCGATTTCCCACTCAATACCAGGGGCAGCCCAAGGAATATCATCCGAAAGCTCGTTCAGGATTTCCAGAAATTTTGGGTGAAGTCCAGGTCCCTGAGAATGAACCTCTCCCCAGTGTGTCGCCAGCGCTTGCGCACATTCGTCTAGCGAGCCAAGAGGGGAACCGTCAGGAGCAGAGATGCCACTCAGGTTGAGACGCCGCCGCTTCGGCGACCATGATTTCAAACGTTGGTGAAGTCGAGATCGCTGCTGCTCGGCTTCCTGTAAACCATGCTCAGCACTAGGTAGCTTCGCGAGGTCATCCAGAATTACTGCACTGCTGAGCTCATTCAGGTGATTATGGAACGCGTTATAGTCGTAATACTTGCAGCTGTCAGAGTCAATAAACCTAGACAAAACAGGGTAGGCCTTCACACACTTTTTGATCCAGGAGGAGGACTGACTCCGGGACGAACCAGGAGAGAGAGCCCGAAGGGCCCGCATGGCTTTTAGGCACACCGCGATCTTTTGCTTGTCGGTCAGGACCCCGCCCTTGAACATCCGATGAGTCAGCTCCTCCCTGGCGGCGAAAAAGATGTCCTTCAGCAGGCGCAGCTGTTGGAACGGGGAGCCGACGAGGCCTACTTCTTCGATGAGGGATTCGATGGCAAGACCGAACTCGGGATGCTCTGAGACCCATCTAGGGATGCTCTGACTCTTAGAGGAACCAGGAGACAACAGCAGATAAACAGGAATGTGATCGGACACCTCATTGATGTCGTGCGCGAGACCAATTGTACCAGATTTGGGGTGCCAGTCGAGTATTTCTCCAGCGGGGGCATTCGTGTAGATCCTGTCGAGCCGAGCGACCGAGGTGACCGTGTTACGTACTTGAGTCCCGTGGGTGCAGTCCGTCTGCGCAATCTCGCAGAAGGACGGGAAGACGGTGCCGAAGTGCCTGGCCAAAGTAGTGCTCCCTACAGTGGGCTCGCTGCCATCGAGGGGGATGCGCACATCATCCTCCTCGACAAAGTTAAAATCTCCAGCCAGGAAAGAGAGGCACGTGTTGCTGCTAGGAATACTTCGAGCTGCACGCGACACGAGATCATACTTAGCATGGTGAGGCAGGAGGGGTTCGATGTGTATGTTCATGATCAACATCGCGCCGTTCGCGCCAGTCACCCGCACGGAGAAGCATCGCCCTCCACTGATATGGGTGATCACGGGTTGACCTTCAAACCAATTCATCACTGACTTACGTATTGAAATAGTGCAGCCACCACTAGACGAGACAGAGCAGAAGGAGCCGAAGTGGACGTGGGAGGGGAAGTCGCGCTCTAGAGAGCTTAAGTCGCCATCGGAACCATGAGTTTCCTGACACATGACAATGTCATACTTGTTGATAAGCTGTGTTATCTTTGCTAGTTTCTTTCTTTGCCGTGCATGCGAGCCGCGCACGCTACCAAACAGAGTGGCCGAATTATAAGTGACGATACTTAACTTGTTGCGAATTATGAAAGCAGCACTCTCTTCAGCACCAGACGGAGGAGGAGGCGCAGGGGGAGGAGATCTGCCGTCCAGCGGATCTTGTGTGTGGGCACCCATAGCCAGCAAGGCTTCGCCGCGCACACGATCTGCCAACCTTGGCGAGCAAACGCCGTCCTCCAGACGGCGACGCGAAAGAGGCGGTGCGAGAGTGGCACAGGATATCTGCACAGGAATTTCCTACTCCGCCAGCAGCGCCTGGACACGGTCCGAGATCCCGTTCGTGAGCGATTCCTCCAGATGGAAATGCTTGAAGCTCACGGCGTCTACGTCGATCTCGAAGCGCCCGTCGCCGTTGCCGTTCACCTCCTTCAGTTTGACCATCTCGAATGGGTCGCCGTTCTCCATCAGGTAGAGGATGCCCTGGAATGGGTTGGTGCCGAGCTTCATGGAGGATGCGTTCCACAACTTCTTACTCTTCATCTCGGCTTGGATGATGTTGTAGGCGAGACCCAGCGCGTAGGCCTTGTGCCTGACAGGCAATGGCTGGTCCTTGCCGAGCCGAAGGTCGTGGGTCTGCGATGTACGCGGGTCGATCCATCTCATCGCGATGCCTTTGAAGTGGCCCCAGCAGCTGTCGGCCTGGGCCTTGTTCTCGAAATCGATTGCGTACGAATACTTGAAATTCTGGAATTTCGGCGTCACCTTGGACGCCAGTTCCGATGGGAGATTCGACCTGAGGACTGAGTAGTGCGCCTCGAACTGCGTCTGCATCAGCTTGCGCGGGAAGCCTCTGATCCAGAGGCGGCACGGGTTGCTCACATCATATGGTCCAGCCGAAGCAGCGCGAGGACGACGTGCTTGGGATCCCGACGACGTGGTCGAAGAAAGCGATGGCGGCCGCGAAAGTGTCGACACCTGCGAGCTCAGCGTGGAAACCTGCTCCTGCAGCTTGACGAGGACGTCGGCCTTGTCGGTGGGGACTCCTGTGTGCATGGCGTCTATCTTGGAGCGTAGCTCGGCGAAGCTTCTGTTGGTGCTCTCCTCGAACTGGGCCATCTTGGCTTCGTTGGCCTGGACCCTCTCGCCGAGCATCTTGCATTCAGCAAGTCCCTGATCGACAGCATTGAACCTGGCCATGATCTGCGCGAGAGCATCCCCGTTGTCAGCAGGCGAGCCCATGACAGGGGACGAGGCTGTGGCGGCAGACCTGGGAACGTGAAAGATGGCTCCCACCCACTGAAGGGCCACTGGTCGGGAGACTAGAAGGCAATAGTGAAGGCCCTGTGCCTTCCAAAGCAGCTCGAGCTCCCCGTCGGCTGCGACCAAGGTCGAAGCGCCAGGGAAACGTTTCGACCTTGAGCCAAAATGGCTACGGAAATAGTGATGAGGGTGATGCTGATGAAGATGATGTTTTTGATGGTGATGGCGATGACGATGGTGATGATGATGCTGCTGTTGATGATGGTAATCGTGTCGTTGATGGTGACGGTGATAGTGATGGTGATGACGCGATGCTGATGATGAAAAGAAGGGAGAGGTGGAGGAGGAGGGATAGTGAAGAGTGAGGAGTGGGGAGCGAGGATGACGAAAAATGGGATAATGAGGATGAGGATGATAATGAATAAGGAGGGGGGATGAAGAAGAGGGGGTGGGGAAGGAGGAGGAAGAGGAGGAGGGACGAGTCCGTCCACCGTCCGCGGTTCTGTAGAAGACCAATTGTACTCCAGTGCTGGGGGGATCAATCTGTACCCCGGCGCCCAACAAATTCAATGGTAGCCCGCCACACTATGCTTTTTTGCAATCTGCCGCACAAAGCATCCTTCTGTAACCCGTCACTTTTTGTAAGCCGCCAAAAACGGATTTCTTTCCCCAACCCCCTCCTGTAGGAATCCGTTCTGCAATCCGCCACAAGAAAGATCCTTCTGTTAAGCCGCCACGCAAGGAATCCTTTTTGGCCCCCCTGCAACCGGAATCGTTTTTCAAGCCGCCACGGGAGGCAAAAGGTTTTCCGTTGCAACCAACCGCATAAGAAATTCCCCCGGGGAGCCATCACGACAAGGAGTTCGCTGTAATCTGAAAGGGAGGGTGCAACTTTTCATGTGTGTCCTCTCCCCGCCCTTAGAGGCTGACTTTTTTCCCATGCTTCACGCGCAGGCCAGGCATTTGTCTTCCTGCTATCTTTCGTCCCAACCATCCTGTGGCGTTGGATCCTCCTTTTGCGAAGACAGTTCCCCGCTTTTCTTTCTTCCTCTCCTCATCCCCCTCTTCCTCCTTCCATCCTCCAACTGCCCCCCCTCCTCGTCCCACCCCTGCATCCGCCCTCCGCAAAGCCTCATCTTCACCATGATCATCATCCCCACCACCATCATCATCAGCATCATCACCATCATCGTTATCACCATGGCCATCGCCATCATCAACATCATCACCGTCGACATCGCCAGCAGCACTGACACACTCTCTGAATCGATATATGCACACATCTGCGGCATCTACCCTCTGCACTCGCTCCGCACGTCGCTCCCCAACCCACAGGGGTCTGTACCCCTCCCCCGTAATAGGGACATATTTTAATAGCGCGGGTTTGTTGAAGGATCGGGGCCCATGACATTTGTTGGTAAATAAGTATTCCCCTGCGGAAGCTACCGCTCAGGCATCCACCGTCGTCGCTGTCGTTGTTGCCGACGGCGGCGACTAAAAACACTAGCCTTGGATGCCCGAAATGGGTACGGAAAGAATGGGTACAATGCTCAACAACACATGTTGTCCCAAACCAACAGCGGCCGCTGTTGGGCAGGCGGCCTTCTGTCTCAAATGGACACAGGCCGCGGCGACACCGACAGCGAGCCCTGTTCAGAATGGACAGAAACTGCTGTTGGGCATTGTACCCATTCTTTCCGTACCAATTTCGGGCGTCCAAACTAGCGACTAGGACGCCGACGACGGGTACGAAGACGCCGCGCCGACTCGGCTGGATATGTTAATCAAACTATCGTTCAATCCGTGTTGGAAAAACTCAAGCTTCCTCTGTCCTCCAAGGTAGCCCAGGTGGTACCCGCTCGGGTAAAAAAAGCGCCGAAGGATTTTCAGCACGGTCAACGGTAGTGAACAAAAAATGCTGGGCGCCGGCGACGACAACGGATACGATTACGACAAGGACGCCGACGACGAGGGCGACGACGTCGCGGACGCCTCCTCCTCGTCTCCCCCATCATCCTCCTCCTCCTCCCCATTCCCCTTCCGCTCGGCATCCTCCTCCGCCGCTTCCTCCTCCTCTACCCTTTTCCATTGCACATTACCTTCTGCGGCTAGTACGACAACAATTATTAGTAGTAGTAGTAGTACTACTACTACTAATAATAATAATACTACGACTAATACTACCAATAAAAACAATCCCACTACCACGACGGCTACTACGACTACCACGAATACGACGACTACTACACCTACTACTACTGCTACGCACACAACCACTACGACGACTACTACCACTACGACTACGACTACGACTACGACTACGACTACGACTACGACTACGACTACGACTACGACTACTACTACTACTACTACTACTACTACTACTACCATTACTACTACCACTACTACTACTATTACTACTACGAGTACTCCTACTTCTCAACTGCTAATACTACCACCAGTACCGCTACTACTACGA